TGATCTCTAGTGTGAACACCTAGCGATGGTATCCGTCGTTATCAATAAGCCCAATGTGTCCGTCTGGTTGGTTTTATATTTGTAACAAGTGCTCTGCAACCTCAACGACGAATAAGTTGTTTGACAACTTAAATCTTTCCCGTATTGGTTGTTAGCATCATATTTGTGTTTTCAGCTCCTGATGAAGGCTCCATAGAGAATTGTCGAAAGCTAGAGATTATCGTTAAGAGAGTTAACTAAAGCCTAAAAAGTTTGCCAATTTCCCAATTGTACAATTAATTGTATTTTTTGCCCAACTGGTCGTTGTTGGCAATGGCTGACTACTGCTCATATATATATATATATAGAGAGAGAGAGAGAGAGAGGCTGACAGTGACAACAATAGATTGGGAATACTTTGGCGAAAAGATTTTCGAGGTGGCGAGACGAAGCCCTAGAACGTATTTCTGAGCTTGCACAAATACAGGTTCAGGCACAGAGGCAGATTGCATATGTATTTGTTAGGGAGATGGACGTATAAAGGTGATGTAGTCTGACCCAACAAAACCATGAAACGAACTATATAATTTTCGGAACTGTAAAAGCTGCTCGTGCACTTGTTAACTGAATAATTAAGGGCAGCTGGTTCCATTTACTTTCTGAAAATTCCAGTAAACTTCGCACAAACTGTTGGTTTTGTCCAACGGCTGTATTTTCGCGCATTGCTATGTTTTTAATTATAGCGAAAGGTAGACTCAAATGACAAACCCGTAACAAGTGGTTTGTTACACTTTCAGTGACAAGCGAGAGAAAACTAAGAACGTTTGATATGATCAAGCAGGCTTACCCAGGTGTTGGTTTAGCAAGAAGTGGTGTGTTTCGGTGGCGCCAGGCCTTTTTGGAGGGCCGGGAAGAGGTCGCTGATGAAGACCGTGCTGGAAGACCTTCGACTTCGACAAACACTGATAATGTGACTCGTGTGCGCAAAGTTTTGAACTCAGACCGTCGTCTAAGTATTCGTTTAATTGCTCAGATGTTAAATTTACCAAAATCTGTGGTTCATGACATTGTGACACAGCATTTGAACATGCGCAAGGTGTGCGCGAAGATGGTCCCAAAAGTGCTCACTGACGACCAGAAATTGCGACGAGTGGAAGTGTGCCAAGAAAATTTGAACATGTGTGAAAGTGACCCCCAATTTTTGAATAACGTAATCACAGGTGACGAGTCGTGGATCTTTGAGTATGATCCAGAGACAAAGAGGCAATCTTCCGAGTGGCACACGACGGCGTCTCCTCGCCCAAAAAAGGGAATAATGAGCAAATCCAAAGTGAAAACGATGCTCATTGTCTTTTTTTACATCAAAGGCATCGTCCACCATGAATTTGTTCCTTTTGGACAAACCGTCAACGCCAGGTTTTACGTGGAAGTGCTCAGGAGACTCAAACGAAGGGTCAGTCGGGTCCGACAAGACATCGCAGACGACTGGAAGTTGCACCACGACAACGCCCCGGCTCACACCGCCTTTCTTGTGAACAGCTACCTGACCAAGGCCGGCATCCCAACGCTTCCACAGCCGCCCTACAGCCCAGATATGCCCCCCTGTTTTTTGTTTCCTCGCCTGAAAAGGCCGATGAAAGGCAAGCATGTTGAGACGACAGAGGGGATCCAAGCAGCAGGCACCGCGGCTCTCAAAGCTATTCCGGAGAATGCTTGAAAATCGCGCTGGCAGCGTTGCATCGACGCAGAAGGAGCCTATTTTGAAAGTTTTTAAAGAATTGTAACGATTGGCTCAATAAATTTTTTTAAATCGACTCAGTCCTATTACTTTTCGGACAAACCCTGTATACCACGAGCCCATGATGCAAAGCCCTAGAGGATCTATTAGAAGAATACTTTCTCACTCCCACGTATAATGGTTGCCCGAGCATCAAGTTATGGTTACCAATGATAGAGATTGACACAGGAAGAATTTAAAAATGAGATGTTAACAGTGAAAGCAGTCAGTGGCAAAACTTGCCAACAGATGTTGAAACGTACATACATTCAGGAACTGTTTTTAAAAGATGACGAGATATTGCAGAAGAAATTCAGAATAGGCTGATGATGGGTAACCGGTGCTTTTATTCACTGAATCGACTACTAAACAGTAAAATCGTGTCCAGAAAGGCTAAACTAAGGTTGTATAAAACTATTATAAGAAGTATTGTTATCTCTGGCAGTGAAGTATGGACATTAAATAAAGCAGAACAAAGAATTCTAGTTATTTGGGAGAGAAAAATCTTACGCAAGATATTCGGTAGGAAGCGAGGGTGCGGTGGATGGGTGCGGAGAACGGACAAAGAACTCTCTCTTTATGGTGAACCTGATATAGTAGCAACAGTGAAAGCTCAAAGATTGAGATGGTTAGGACATGTCCAAAGAATGATGGAGACCAGGACACAAAAAATAGTACTTACAAGCAATATTGTTGGAAAAAAGAGACGAGGAAGACCGAAAACTAGATGGAAAACGGAAGTGGAAATTCGTATTCAAGAGTTAAGAATTGGTAATTGGAAGAAGAACACAGTAAACAAGAAAAGCTGGCGACAAGTTACCATTCAAGCCATGGGCATATTAGGCCTGCAGTGCTGAACTGTATATATGATAGAGGCCAGGGTGTTTATAAAAAATTACATTTTGTCCACCGTCTTTTAGTCCCACGTGCGCGATAGGGATGTTAGAAGAAAAAAAAACAAGCAAACATTGCTACTTGCATACTGCCCCGGGATGGCAGGAGGCTGGCGCCCAGGTACTTATCAAAAACAATATTTATTCGAGAACCGGGAAAACAAAACCCTAAAACGCGATTGTTGTGTATTGTTTTTGATAATCAACCGCCAACCCAGTCAAGTATACAAATATTGTTTTCGCGTTTTACTTCTCACGCCTACGAAAATGAGATATTATGTTTTTGGATGTTATATGACATGTATATCACGAAAAACCATTTCTGATAGTCTATCTGTCTGTATGTCGGTCTGTCTGCTAATATATAATCTCCTATAACTTGAAAAGTACTACTCGGATTTTGATGAAGTTTTAACACAATGTTACTTCTAAGCGAAGAACGCAAAAAGGTAAAAATCGCTCAAACTCCGTTTTTTGACGTTTTAGAGGATCATGATCTTTTTTGAAAAAACTTTGGAGCTCCCCATCTGGGGAAGCGAACTGAAACGCGGTGGGCAACGTGAAATGGGGGGTAAGTCAGCCAACTGGGCATGCTTTGACATGGCATGCCCGTTTCTATCATTCCCTCTCGAAGAAATACACATACCTCTAACAGATGAGCGACGGGGCCATCTTTTTCCTTTCAGATACCCTAGGGTTTGTGTCACCGGTTGTCCTATAAATATTTTTTTAATAAACAACTGGGTATCAACCTTCTGGCAACCCAGCTCAGTATGCAAGAAAAATGATTATCTTTCGATTACGCTTGTTTTTTACCTTCTGACATGATCGCCCAGATTCTCCATCTAGGCAGGGGAAGTGATAATCGGAGGGCAACCTGAAAACGTGGCTTAAGTTATACGTTGAGATTGGCAGACCTGCCTATATCATTCACTCACAAAAAAATGCTTCTGACAGATGAGTGACGGGACAACCTTTTCGAGAGTTATCATCTTTCAATAATATCGGGTGTGTCAAATGAAAGAACTAACAAAGAGTAGTTATTATGAAATCTATTGATGTAGTGATTTTCTTACAAATGTGAGGGTTCCAGCTACAGTTGTAAGACAGATCAAGTCCAAGAAACTTAGTAGGTTGTAATCTGGTTCCGACGTATACATGGAACAGACAAACAATTACTCTTCTCTGTTCAATGCCAGGCCATTATCAACAAACACTTATTAATCCGTGTAAATCCAGTTGTCTCGGATGCAGCTAGGGTTGGTTCTGTAGTAGTATCTACTAAGAGAGACGAATCATCTGCATACGTAACAAAGTTGTTTTTTGTTGACATCATTTACGTATATGTATGACATAGGTCCGAGTATTGAGGCCTGAGGAACTCCAATGCTGCATGTGGTTGGGCGGGATTTGTGTTTCCCAACCTGTACATACTGAGGTATATCGCTAACCACATAAATAGAAGCTTGTGATCTACCAGATCAAAAGCTTTTCTCACGTCTACAAATATTCTTGTTCTCTTATTTTTCTCCATAGCTGTATGCAGCATGCTTAGCAAAGCAGAAGTGGCTTTAGCTGTGGATGTCTCCTTAAGAAAGCCAAATTGGTAAGGATTGAAAAAGTTATGTTTAATGAAGAATTCGGTCAGGCAAATGGCAACATATTTTTCTATAGTTCTTGCAAATGAGGGATATTGGTCTGTGTAGTTGATGTTCTCTGGATTTTCTGATTTGGTTATAGGGATAATTACAGATATTTTTGGTTTTTAGAGAAATTTCCTGGTTTCTAGGAATACAATATTCTTCAGTAAATTGGTGCTGAAAGCATCATCTCCAGTAAAATCCGATCTTTTCAACATTGTTATTATGCTTGAGATATCTTGTTCTGTGGCCGGACGAAAAAAGAAACTCTGCAGACTGTGCATATTGAAAGGAACAAGCATGCGCATATTATTGCCTCTCAGGTTTTTCGAGATCTGTGCATAGCCGTTGTTGAATTTGTCAGCAATTTCTCTAGAATCTGTGATCAGATTATTATTTATTCTTAGCTCAAGCTTACGTTCTATATTTCTGTCAGACTTGATTATTTTCCAAACGGATCCTGATTGATTGCTAGAATTGAAACTGTGAGGCCCTTAGTGATCTAGGGCTCAATAGTTTTTCCGTGTGAATCCCCATTTTCAAGGGAAAAGCTAATTCAAAGTAATAAGTGAAAATATTAGAAAATATTGATGATTAGAAATTTGCATATACATATTGGGGGCTTGTTTATCAAGGCTTTTTCGGTAGCACTGCATATTTAAGAACTGAGTGAAGTGGTCACTGGTCACTAATATTGGAGTGAATACGGACCTTTAGCGTAAATCCAGGTTGATCCACCATTCGAACTCCTGGAACCGCACCCGCCAACCACTTTGTTTCTTTGATGCCCATACACTCACTATTTATACCTGCGAATGGGAAACATTTCTTCTAACAGATCATTTACTGTTTTGTATCATCAGGTCTTAAGCCAATAGTTTTGTGTAAGGGAGATGGATGTATGAAAGTGATGTCGGTAGTTTTACTGTGTTAATAAAGTATGCAGACAAATTTTAACCATCGAATCCTTGGTCAATTTGAAGACTAAATATTCATATGAACATGGGTCGGTAACGGCTTCCTTTTCGAGCTAGAGCACTATCACTAAAGGAATACGAGTAATGTTCCAAATATTTATATGAATAATGAAACGTATTTATTGAACAGTTGGTATAACTTATAATAAATTGTTCATGTTTTATAAGTTGCTGAGGCTCAATATGAACGTGGATGAAAATAGTATTATCCTGTATTTTTGGAAAATCAATTTATTTAGCAGGTCAATAGATTTGAACAGTAACATTCGAATAGAACGACAACAATAGAAACAATCGAATAGTTTTTTTATAATAAATGTTCAAAGTGGCCACCTTCGACTTCAATGCAGGCGTCTAGTCTGTTACACATTGACTGACGAACTCTCCTGAATATACCCGGAGTATTTTGTATAGTCAGACATGACTCGATAATTCTGACTCTTAAGTCCTCCACGCTTTGAATAGGAGTCTTGTATACTCATGTTTCAAATGACCCCAAAAAAGAAATCGACAGGATTCATTTCAGGCGATCTAGGCGGCCATGGCTTTGGTCCGCCTCTTCCAATCCATCGATTTAGATAATTATTATCTAGGTACTCTCGCGCAACGACACTGAAGTGTGGCGGAGCACCGTTATGTACCACATGCGACGTCGTTCTCTATGAGGAATTTCTTCCATTAATTCAGATAGGTCAAATTCCAAAAATGTACTCTTCGCCGCTAAGTCTGGCCAATCGAGTGGTCACTAACGATTCCAAACCAAATATTGAAAGAAAAGTCTTGTTTCGTATTATGTTCAATTATGGCATGGGCTTCTCTTCACACCATACATGGTTATTATGAAAATATATTATTGATGTTCGGGAAAAACATGCTTCATCCGTGAATAGTATTCGATTTAAAAAAAATTGATTTAATGTTACTTTTTCACATAACCAGCTGCAAAAAATCAACTCTTATAGGCAAATCTCGAGGCAAAAGCGCTTGTACACGTTGTATATGATATGGATAAAGCTGCTGATCATTCAAAATTTGTCATACCATTACATGATTAAATTTAGCTGGTGCGCAATTTTTCTTACACTTGTTGTAGGGTCCTCTTCAATTTTATTAAGCACAGCTTCTTCGATTTGGATGGTTCTTACACTTGTGGGTCTTCCTGCAACATGTGTGTATCTCTTGAAACTGCATGCTTCACATAGCCGGGCGTGAATGTTGATGAAAGTTTGTACCTGTATATTAGGCAGCGGGCGTTGTGGAAATCGATCACCATACATACGTCGTGCTCGTCGAGCGTTACCCAGAGCTATTCCGTAAACGAAGTGCATAGTTGTCATTTCTTGATTACTGAACTGGACTATTATGGCCAATCACCAAAACTTAGAAATATTTGGAGTCTTAGAATGACCAGACAAGAAAATAAATATTTGACAGCTGTCGAATTATTTGAGAAAATAAATCAATTCAATTGTTTTCGGGTACGTCATATGTGTATAGATAAGCACAATGCTTGAATATTAAAAGTATTACGATCAAAACAAATCAATGTGATGCTATTTTTTCAAAAAATAGTGGATAACGTTATCCGTATCTACGCATATCGAGGGTCTGAAAATAACTGCAAGTCATGCGATATTCACCACAAACAAAATACGTTCCATTCTTTTATATATTTGTTTTAGAATAATCCCACTTTTAGTGCTAATATACTCTAGCTTGAAGCCGTTGTGGACCCATGTTTATATGGAAATTTCGTCTTCAAGATGACCAAGGATTCAATGGCTACAGTTTGTCTACATACTTTATTAACACCCTGTATATGACAGAATTACTATGAAACATACGGGATGCTAAAAATATTGTGATGAGTCAACATTATCTTACTTTTTTACAAAGTATTTCGTATTTCATTGTAATATTGAATTTATATTATTATTTCCTCAAAGATTGTGGTTCCAGTGAGCATCCCGTTCAAGAATACTTTTCATAAAATTCGGGAACGTATAAAAGTGTTGGTTCAAGAAATATTCACACATTTTTCAAGAAAGCAAGCTGAAATCCAGGATGACTAAGTTTGAGCGAGAATATTATAGTTCAGCGTAAAAGCAGTAGTCGCAAATTTTAAAATGGTTGCACGCCATCTTGGAACATTCTTTAAATGTAGTGTGGGGCCGTATGATAACTCATTTTAAAGCTTCTTATGAGTACTTTATATTTCTGGAATACGAAATTGCTATCTTCCAAAATAGCGGGCATGCTGTGAAATTTGAACTTTTTTATATATTGAACTGCCTATAACTAAACAACGAATAAGCGATTCAATGTACAGAAAACGCTCAACTTTGATATTCAAACAGTTCATTACTTTGCAGGGAAGTACATTTATATTCTAGAGTTATAAAGTACTTATAAAAAGATTCAAAATGCGGTATTACTTTTTTCCATTCTATTTACACAACGCTTCAAGATGGCGTCCCCGGCCATCTTATAATTTTTAACTGTTACCTTTTTGTTAAAATATAGTAGGTACTCATATCAATTTTATCATCTCCTATTTCATTTTGCTAACTTGACGCTTTCAAAAAATAAGTAGTGTCTCTATATGGATAAGTTGAATTATTCCCATACTATTATAATTATAAACAAGATATTACTTCGCGTTTGCACTATTTATTTCAAACCTCTAATTTTTGTTGAGCGTGTACTTCATTACTTATTCACTCAATTCGTGCATATTCTCAAAACATCCTGGATAGTCTTACGAAAACGCAATTACGAAGCTCTTATATCTGGTAAGCTACCTTTGTTAGGAAACATGCACAGTTCTGTTCAGGGGCGGATCTAGTAAATATTTTCAGAGGAAGTCTATATGAAAAAAGTACTAGAGGGAGGACCTGAGAACTGATGTTAAGGCGGATGACCTCGGGGTTAGTCATAAATTAAAAAGCGTGCAATTTTTTCAGACTGATATTTCATGGGTGTCCGGACTCTCTGGGCACCCCCCTGGATCCGCCACTCGTTCTGTTCTTCGTGTTGAGATTACATCGCTTTTTTTAGAATAACCGGGGCATTAGGAACCTTTTGAAATTCTTTCTAGGTTTCTGACAGTATTGCGCTTCTTAGATGTGACATCTTTTTGAGAACACAAAAAATTGCGAAAAGTAGGTTGACTCTGCACTTCTTATGCAACGCCGTTATCAGTTCATACAGGATTATGTTCAGCATAAAGTAGATCCTCTGAGAAAAAAGGCAGTCAAACAGGTCCATACAATTATTCCATAGATATTATTTTCCTGCTCTACTAGAAGATATTTTTCTAAGTTCTTAGGGCTAAATCTATGACATGTGAAATATACCTAATATGTGCACAGAATTAACAAGGTTGGGAGCATATAAATTCACTCATATCAAAAAATTGCGATTTACGCTTCCCACCACCCTACAACCCCCGCCTTAAATTTATTATCTATATTTTTTTCATAAATCATCAGGATCTTCTGAAACGTCGAAAAACGAAGATTGAACGATTTTTTTTAATTGTTGGCCATTTTCAAAAAATAAAAAGCTCTTTCGTCCTTGGCACAATGAAATTGTGTAAGCATTTCATCAAAATCCGATCCGTACTTCTCAAGTTATTGAATTAGGCAGACAGACTGCAGACGGAAATGAGTGACGACATCGTTTTTCGTGTTGCACTTACAAATACATGTGATATACCACTGGTACCACTATTTGAAAATAATAATCTTACGCAGATCATTAGTGAACCTGCATGCATTTCTGGAACGGTTTGTACTCTGCTTGATGCAATATTTGTCCCTAACTTGTCGATAGTGGCTAGGTCTGGGGTTTTATCGGCGGATAATATTTCAGATCATAAATTGGTTTACTGCGATCTTAATGTTTCAAAGGAAAGTGAATCACCTAAGATGATAAAACATCGTTCTTTTAAAAATTTTAACCTAAATAATTTTCTAGCAGATATGCAAAGTTTGCCGTGGAATAATATATTATATGAGAATAATATTGATAATATAATAACTAGTTTAAATAATCTAATTTTTACATTGTTTAGTAAGCATGCACTAATAAAAAAATCACTAATAACAAAACCAAAAGCGCCTCGGTTAACTAACAGTATTAAATTATTTATGAAACAAAGAGATGCAGCACTGCACAAATTTAAAAAATCAAAGCTTCAATCAGACTGGGTAGATTATAAGAAATTTTACTTTATCGTTGATAAGAAAAGAGAAGAAGGAATACATAGAATCTTTTGAAGGTAACTCCCAAAAACTGATGTCAGTTTTAAAAAGTTTTAATATCTGTTCTACAAAAAATTATGAAATTCCCCAGTCTTTATCAGAACCTGATATTAGTAGCTTTTTTGCTGCTTTTCTACAAAATAAATCTAACTGTTCGGAAAAAATTAAATTGGTTGTTTTCGTAAAAATTTTTGGTACATCAGTGGCTCTAACAAACGTACTCGATGACATATTAAGAGCAAATGGTAAAAAGATGAGTTAAGTTTTGGTACTTCTAGACTTTTCAAAAGCTTTTGATACCATTAATCACGAATTGTTGGTAGCTAAACTTCAGTACTATGGCTTTAATAAGGAAGCATGTTTGCTTTTAAAATCATATTTGACAGTCGATTCTATTAAATGACACATTCTCAGACAAAGCGGAGATCCTATCGGGAGTTCCTCAGGGATCAATATTGGGCCCCTTGTTATTTTTAATTTATACATCTGATATCCTTACGTCTTTCAAGTTTTGTAAAGTTCAGGCCTTCGCGGATGACACCCAGGTTTATTATTTTTTTGATATTGAGGATTACAAATATTACGAAAATTGTATAAATGAGGACATTAACACCTTGAACAATCTCTCATTAGGACACAACTTAAAACTTAATCCGGAAAAATCGCATGTAATGATTTTTGGTAACAAATCTAAGACTGAGTTTTTGAAAGCTAATCTCAATATAATGGCTAATAATTCAAAATTGAATTTTGTTGAAAGTACAAAAAATCTCGGTATAGTTTTAGATTCTCAGCTTAGATTTAAAGATCACCTGAAAAATCTTATGCAAAAATCATTTTGTTCTCTAAAAGTTTTATATAATAACAGACACATACTAAACAGATCACTAAAAAAAAAATGTGTGTATCCCTAATTCTTTCCATTTTCAATTGTTGCGATTTTGTCTATGGGTTTTTGCTGGGATCAGGCAAGTGGGGGTCGGATTCAGAAGGTGCAAAATGCGTGCCTCAGGTTTATCTATGGTCTGCGTAGGTTTGATCATATATCTCATTTGTATAAAGAAATTAAATGACATAAAATGAATGAGCGTCGCACTCTCCATTTTTCTAGTTTTTTATTAAAAATTATAAACACTCCAGGTTCACCTGGTTCTATAAGAGAACGCTGAATTTTCCGACATTCTGTTCATGATATAAATGTAAGATATTTAAAAAAATAACTATGGCGCTTCATAGTAGTGCATTGTTTCAACGATCATTCTCATACAATGCTGTTAAACAATTTAATTCAATTCCCAACCAGTTCCTCAATCTTTCCCTTTCAAGTTTCAAAATACAATATAAGAAATATTTGCTAAATAGAAATCTGAACGAACTTTTTTAGAATAGAGATTGAAGTTTATAATATAGGTATATAAGTAGAAAAAATATGTCAAACAAATTTTATAGTAACCAGTAACGACATTTTATAGTGACCAGTATTAATCTTTTTCAAATTTTAATATACTTTCAGTCCATTTAGTGTTAACACATGTTTATTATTATGATTATTCTGTATTGTTGTTTAAGACTTATTACTATTATTATTATTTTTTCTTATTTTGGTCCAGTAGATTATTTGTTTTATTCAATAAAGTCATTTATTATTATTATTATTATTATTATATAACACCCAAGAAACATAATCACATTTTCGCGATCACAATACTTCCCCGTCAGTAGGCGTGGAAAGTAAAAGGCAACTAAATCTTTTTTTGAAGTCTTACATTGCCTATTTCCGTTGATATACTCGTATGTTATTAAGAGGTACTTGAAAAGGTGACAGAAGAAAAGAAGGTACAAAATTTGACACACGTATTATTAAAAAATAAGGTTTGACTTGATGATAAAACGACGTTAGATCATTGCTCAGACAATTAACCATAGATGCATTTCATTTCTGTCTGGTACATGTGAATCAAGCAAATACAATGACAGTGAAAACTAGTGGAAAAACTAAGCGAGGATAAGATTAAGCTACCCCACTTTCAAAACTGTCTGAATTTTTGACACAAACTGTTTAATGGTCGGAGAAAAGAGCGACGAAGATGTAGACATACATATCAGAACACATTATTTATAAGATTTACCCCTCGGCAGATGCTTTCTCCACTTATTCGGCAGTAAAGC